GTGTACTTATGTCGTTAATAGACTAGTTCTAGTCTTTGGACATTCTTTGATATTGCATTTTGAAATGTATTTTCAGTATTATATACTTTGATTTGTTATCGTGAAATAAAATGATGATTTTTTAAATAATTTTCCTCAAATTCATCAACTTTATGACCAGAGAATATTAAAATATGTTGTGTAACCCGAAGAGTAATATACGATTGTTGATATTTCAAATTCGACACGGATGAGATACATTTAATTACAATGAAACAAACTAGATATTATCTATTAAATATGAATAAAATATACATTAGTCCCAAGCTTCGTTCTGCACATAATAATTTAACCGATCCTTGGTAGTAATTCGTCTGTTGAATCTTGAATTCTTTTCTTCTTGTTGATCCTTTAGCACTTTTTCGAATCTCGCTCGTTTAAATTCTTTCATGTGACCATGGGATTGTTCGATAGTGAGATAAGGATGCCTTAACAATAGCATATTACGTTCTTCTCTATCGAGATCCCGCTTAAAGCACATCATATCGTAGTAGGATGGTTCCTTCTCTTTACGGTGTTTCCTGTATGTACGGAATGCACGTGTGTACCATTAACTCTGCTATTCACGAAATCCATTTAATTTATGTACAAATTCTTTAATAAAAACAACGAAAGCTTGCATAAGACATTCATAGAGTATTCGGCAAGCATGGTGAACGAGGTTAAGTTATTATTCATTTCAGCGACTGACACAACTTTGCGAGGAATGATTGTACGTACCCTCTAAACCGATAAGGGATTTTATGAACGTATATTTTATAGAGTTGATTAGAAAGTATTCCCGTGATACGCATGTTAATCGTAGGTTCTTTTCTCGATCCAACGGCACTTGGACGGCTGTACGGTAACTTGTTATTCCTTCGAAGAAGGAAATGATAAAACGCGCGAGCAGGTAAACAATGGTTACCGATCTGGAAATTCACGCGGAGAGACAGTGGCGCCATCCGCGGCAGAATGCTCAAGCTGCTAGACGAATGTTATCGATGCGAAGTGTTCGTATGTTCACGCACAGATGGCGCTATAGTCGCTCCTCTGACTTTCCACATCGGTAACACTTGTCTACCAGTTTGGGCGTTTCGCCACGAGTGGCGCCACCATCCGTCCCTCCGATTTTCCACATCGGTAACATTCGTCTACCGGTTTGAGCGTTTCGCCACGGATGGCGCCACCGATCGTGAAAAGGAAGGCGGGATTTTTAAAATTGATCATCTCGACGGCTTTTTAATATTAAATTAGACACGACTATTCTGCGTTATTAATGAGATAATTATTAAATATGAGATATTTGACAATGAACAATCAGCGGTAACATTTAGATTCGTTAGACGAGGAAAACTTCCAACTTTGTCCCGAACTCTAAAAAGGAAGAAAAAGAAAAGGTCCCAGGAATGATCCCAGCAATAATCGTTCTTACCAAGAGATTCATAGGCGTACAATCTAACGCGTAAGGTGTCGACGATGCAGCGTAACGAACCGACACTCGTCGAGGGATCGGATAAAGTGACGGGGGTATAAACTCGGGTGTCCATGAAAGAATCGATCTATTTTATAGCATCTCAAATTCAAGACAAAAAAGAAAAGGTGATTCTTATAATTAATAACAAACACGTTGTCAAATTACGAAGGAGGTTCACGCATTCGGTTCCCGCGATAAGACGCGAGACTATTTTGGTTTTCGTGGCCACTGCTTCCGCATCTCGCGCCGTTTATCCGCCTGTCTAGCCGTCTCTCTACCACCGGCGTGTTTCCGCCGTCGAGTCACGAGCGCTTCTCCTCGTTTGCCATTGAGAAATCGGTCGACGAAAAAGACTCGGGTGAAGAAGAAGAAGAAGAAGAGAGAGAGAGTAGACGAAATAGAAAATTTGCCGATAGATTTTCGTTGGTGTTCGTCGAAAGGTTGGACGAGTGGTGCATCCACGCGGGGTACGGCAGACAGATCGGCTAGACAGGCGGATGAACGAATCGTTCGAACAAATGATGGACTGTGTATGCTATCTCAAAGCTGTGGCTGGCTTTCTCCTAAATCTCACGGTGTACGCGCAACAAATTCCTCTTCCACTTTCCCCTGTTTGAAATATAAATCGCATTTGAAATCCATTCTGCTTCGACACCCCTCATCAACCCCTCGATCGGATCGGATCGGATCGGAACGGATCGGATCGGATCGGATCGGATCGGACCGCATTCGATCACGTCGAATCGCATATAATCGTTCCCGAGCGCGCGCTTGCGCCGCGTCGCGTCGAACAACAAATACGAATACGAATACGAATACAAATACGAGTACGAGTACGAATACGAATATCTACGAATACATTTCGTACTTCTTTAAATCGGGGAGAAGTTGTTGGGTGCCAGACTCGCTCCGCTCTTTCCGCTAAAGGTTTTCATACAAAATAATTAGAAAAATGTACAAAAATTCATAAAAATAGTAATAGTTACACAGTACAAATTACATCTGGGTAATTAGAGTAGTGTGATCGAGAAACGAGCTTGAAAAATTACGATTCCCTACTACTGTTACACGTGTTTATCTCCTTCCCGGTATGCGCGCGTTTCTCTGTTCCTTTCCGTGTCGCGTTTGTCGGTCCTCCCCGGCGTTTCCCTCTCGTCCTCTCGAGCGACCTCGGCCAACGAGGGGGAGGCGCCGAGCGATATTTCCCGCGACCGTCGCACACGCGCAGCGAGACAGACGGATGCCGATAAGCCGAAACTCGTCTCCGTCCCCTGCCCCGTCTCTCCCTCCCGTTCCTCGTGTTCGCCGAATTCTCGTTTGCGACAGAGATCGCGTTGCGCGGATCGCGTACCACCGATACCGGTACGAAATTACATCGAAGATCGTTGCTGTCGTTATCGATAGAATAATTCGGCGTACCGACGCGAGGCTCTAACGGTATCTACGATACGAGAAGAAGGGTCCGCGGAAGGTATACGTGTGGTTCGTCGACGTCTCTATCGTTCGCGGTACGAATTATTGTATTAACGATAACGATAACGATAACGGCAACGGCAACGGTAACGGTAACGGTAACGGTAACGATAACGATAACGATAACGAGACCCTCGCGTCCTGCATCCGCCAACCGGGGGGAGCGTCGCCGACGTTGTTGCCTCCGAGCGGAACAGAAAAATGCGTTCACCTTCGAACGCGAACGATATAAGAGTGAACGATCAAAATGCGAGCACAGCAGAGCGCGTACGCCTCTTCCGCGTGGCATCGCGCGCGCATTCCCGTTCGCTGAACGCGATCTTAATTTTACTAATGCCACACAGTACATAGCCACGGATCGCGCTGTCGTTCGCAACACTCTCCGCTAACGTCGAGGGAGTCGGCGGACGAATCCGCACTCGTTTCGATCGAGAAACAACGGTTCTACTTGTCGCTAAAGTTCCATCGATCCTTCGCCCCGCCTCGCCCCGCCTCGTCCCCCTCGCGACGATCGTTCCGAATCGCCGGGAAAAGCGGTCGGCTCGTTCGAGACGACGAACGGGCCAAGGCGGAGACGAGAATGAACCGGTGTCGAGAGGTTTCGCTCGAAACTCGAGAAAACCGAGCGGTCCAACACGGTCGACGGTTGGTCCGATGAGTCGCGGTGACGTTCGATCGGCCACGGTGCAAAACGGAGGAAAACTCGCGCCCGGACCCGGCACGGATTCGATCGAACACCGCCGACGCGTCGTCGTCCAGCGGTAGTCTAATTTCCCGATAATTTCGCAACAATTCGTTTCCCAATGGTTCCCGCGATGGTCTCGCGGCTGCGAACGATGCAGACAAGTGGAAGATTATCCCTTTCGTTTCTCGATTCCCCCTGCCAATAATCACCGTCGACGTTCCCGTCTCGTCGTACGCACGCGACACCGTCCATTAAATGTACACCTACAACGATATTCTGCGACCAAAAAAATAAACTCTATCGTGCGTGTTATTGGCTAATTAAGCTAGAATTACCGATCGCAGCTCGGTTACGATCGATAAAGAAGTAGTAAGTATCGCGCGGCCGTGCGATCGCGCGTGTCTTTCTCCCTAGACTCTCTCTCGGCCCTCTTCCTGGCGCGTATCCGCGGCCGTTGATCCGAACGGGATCCTCCCGAAGGATGCTCGAGGAGGGAGAGAAAAGTTACGCGTCGATCGTTCGGTTTCTTTTCCTCGCGGCCGCTCCCTTTTAATTCGACTAATTTCCAATAAATCCGCGAGATCTCCGGCCCGAGCGTTCGCCCCCGGACCGACACCCGCGCGAAAAGAACCGTTCTTACTTTCTCATTGTTCGCTCGTTCGTCTGCTCGGCTCTCCGCCGTCGCAACTTTCGCCGCTTCGCAGTTCCGCCCTATCGTGTCACTCGTTCGTCCTTCCATCCGCGCGTTCGTTCGCTCGCTCGCTCGTGTCCAGTCGCTCTCGTCCGTTCTTTGTTCTCCCCTGGCCGCCACCCGCTTTTCGCCCGTTCCTCGCCGTCGTCGACTCGGAGGATCGACGACGGCTGCTCGACTCTCAGGTGGGTCGCGAATCATGGCTCTCGCGGCAGATTAAAATTCCAAAGCTCGTCCGCTACGTCATATTTTTTCTCCGGTTTTCCTTCGACGCGGAGACTTTTATACAAACAACGAAATAATGAAACATTCCTCAAAAAGTTGCAACAGTTTCCTCGAGAATCGTCGGATGTAGAAGATACAAAAAGTTTGATTGTCCCAGCTTTGAAATTCTATTCTTTCCCTTTATCCTCGCGCCCCCGACGAACAGTGTTTCCGAGAATCCGCGGCATAACTTTCCCCGTCATGCGTGTACGACAAAACGATGGTCGACAGGAGCCAACGATATGACCGTTTCTTAAATGTAAACGGTAGCGCCGAAGATTGATACTTGCTACGTTACAGAGTAGAAGTAGAAGTGGAAGCAAAAGTGGAGGCGAAAGTAAGAGTGAAAGTAAAGGTAAAAGTAAAGGTAAAAGTGAGTAAAAGTAAGAGTAAGAGTGAGAGTGAGAGTGAGAGTGAGAGTAAGAGTAAGAGTGAGAGTAAAAGAGAAAGTAAACGTTAGGAGCAGTAGGATTAACAAAAGTAGTTGTTCGGAAGTAGCTGGTTTGAAATTGTTTGCAGGGCTCTCTAAGCCACTTGCGCGCGAGCTAATTACGGTCGAAATCGACAGGCGTAAAGTTCTAAATTCGTCTCGATGGAAAAAGAAGTTGAACAAAGTATAAATCGGCTGGCTGTAAACAGCCGATTCTCGTCTATCGACATCAGAAGCAAAGACTCAGCGTGTGCGCGAATACTCGTTTGCCAGGTATGCGTTGCTCGATGCTCGTACTAATTGGAAATCAAGTATCGTTGCTTCTGTCGTCTCGTTTCAAGTTGTATACCCATAACAGAGGTTGCACCGTCACGCGTGAGAACGCAAACGTTAAAGAGGCAAACGCAAAAGTTCCTGCGCATACGTTACATTCGCTAGGTCGTATAAAGAGGATATAAAAAGTCGTCCATCCGGAATATAATGCGTCCTTTAAACTCGTCAACCGATTCTTATCTTTACGCTACGATTGAATTCACGCGAACGGGTCGGTCGGCTTACTTTTTTGTCCGTTTTCCCGTCGGTTCGTCGATCAACAACGACGAGAAAGAAAGTGTAAAAATCTAGCCAGACGTGTAAGAAAAATATCTGGACGTAGGAATACCGTCGTTCTCCGTTTCGCGTCGCGGGTCGCTCCGATCTGGAATCCTCCGATGCTTGGTCTCGACGCGCGTCGCCTTCGAGCGTCGCGCGGAAGCTCGAGAGTATTGTCTTTGGCTGGAATTTTGGGTGCTTGTTTCATCGAGACTCGTAGACGGAAAAGCCAAAGAGCGTCTCTGCGTCGCGTCCTGTCGCGTCTGTGGGCTTCGGCACAGGTTTCCCAAGGAAGCTTTACACCTCGACTGGCTCTCGCACTCCGTTTCTCTGTCACGCACACGCACA